ATATAAATGAAACAAAAACAGCTAAAGTGCTGTAAAATACTAAAAAAACATGTCTGTGTTGGTTTTTGCCATGAACTTAGCAGATGTTTAAAGCCATTATTTTTTTTATTTATCATCATCATCATTTGATTTAATTAATTTATTCATTCATTTAAGACAAAATAAATAAACAAAACAAGTTCATCAAAAAGAAAACGTTGAATGAAAAGAGTGCAGAAAGAAGAAAAAATATTCTTATATCTCCACCTTATTTAAAAAATATATAAAATAACTTTAAACAAACACTTAAATTAATCACTTTAATATCCACTTTAAAGCTAGGAATAAAAAAAAACATGTTTTGTGTTAGCAGAATTTAATTCTAACTATAAAACTTATCCAACATTAATAAAACTTACCTCAAGTTGACTTTTTGGACATGCATGCATATATTTGTACACATTGTACTTGAGAGGAGATTATTACAGCCTCATATAAAATCAATGATGATCAAGATCCTTTCTTGATACAGCTATCAGCATCTAACAACTCTTGAACAAAACCAGGATGATGAGCTACGACAAGACTTAATTTCCCTCTGGGATTAATAAAGTATTTTTGAATTGAATTTGAATGATATCGGAACTGGATCAGTATCGGCCGATATCGAGATTTAGGTATCAGGATCAGATCGCAAGTGAAAAAATATGGATCGATGCAGCCCTAATTACTAACTGCTGGTTAGACCACTAAAAACTGATATTTCAGCAATTATAACATTCTGAAAAGCAATATTTTGTGGCATTCATTTTTTTAAAGTAAGCTGCATCTCTAATTTTACTGAAATGTCTTGTACAGTACAAAACATGACTTGTCCTTGTCCCCTCTTTATTTCCCTGTTACATTCTCCTCAGTGTGCTTTTAACAGGCCAGACTGCCATCCCCTAGAAAATGGCTCCTTTTGATTAGTTCTCTTTTTTTTAGAAACACATCCTTAAATATAGTTTCAGACTTTGTGACTTCTGATCTTTGTAAGAACAACTGCATGTGAATGTGAAATGTCAAAATGTCACCTAGATGGTGGATGGAAGATGACATTTCAGTGCATTTTAGTTATTTTAACTCCCAACTTTTTAAATCTGGTAATTTAGCGGTTATTTTATAATATTCTTAGAGTCGAAACACAGTGATCCCTCTCCTATCGTGAGGGTTACGTTCTGGAGACCCCCGCAATAGGTGAACATCCATGAAGTAGCGACGTTATATTTATTTTATTATTTATATATATTAAAGGCTTTATAAACCCTTCCCACACTACTACAAATCTTTCCCACTCCGTTTCCCTCTGATGAATTTAGCAGAGGACCTGAAAATTCAACCAAACACAGCGTGTTCAATAAGTTTTATTTTGGAAAAGACTGGTGGGAGTCAGCACGTCTGTGGAAATGCATTGGAATGTTTCCCTATGCAAAACGGGAAAATCCAGGGCTCAGAAACTTGGTCAGGATGAAGGGATCAGTCAGGAGAATCAGAATCAGTTCAGAATCAGTTTATTATTATCGCCATGTCAATGAACGAGGTTCACAAACTAGGAATTTGCTTTGACATAAGGTGCTAATAGTAATAAAGTAAAATAAAGTAAAAATAAAGTAAAAATGAAGTAAAAATGAGAACATTATACATAAGACATAAGACCTGTGTACACCCACAAATAAAGTAACATTAAAAAACATAACATAAACATGTGTACACCCATACAATAGAAAACAATAAAAAAGCTTAGAGAACAGTACAGATGGAGTATTCAATTATAATACAGATGTAATGTGACCAAAGCAGAAATTATGAGGTAGCATTATGAGTGTTCAGGAGTCCAACAGCAGAGGGGAAGAAACTGTTCTTATGGCGGGAGGTTCTGGTCCGTATGGACCGAAGCCTCCTGCCTGAGGGGAGTGGTTCAAACAGTCCGTGTGCAGGGTGAGCAGGGTCAGCTGTGATCCGACCTGCTCGTCTCACAGTCCTGGAGACGTACAGGTCGTGGAGGGATGGAAGGCTGCAGCCGATCACCTTCTCAGCTGAGCGCACAACGCGCTGCAGTCTGAGTCTGTCCCTGGCAGTGGCCCCGGCGTACCACATCGTGATGGAGGAGCTGAGGATGGACTCGATGATGGCCGTGTAGAACTGCACCATCAGCTTGGCCTTCTTCAACTGTCGCAGGAAGTACAGTCTCTGCTGGGCCTTCGTGATGAGGGAGCTGATGGTCGGCTCCCACTTGAGGTCCTGGGTGATGGTGGTGCCGAGAAACCGATAAGAGTTTGCAGTGGTGATGGGGGTATCATTACAGGTGAGGGGGGGCAGAGGGGCTGTGGCTTTCCTGAAATCCACAATCATCTCCACTGTCTTGAGATCAGAAGCATGAGATAATCGCTGGACATTTACCTGCACAAGGCTTTTGATAATGTGGCGCCGGATAGAGAACAGGGGAGCACTTAAATGCTATGGCCACCAGGTGAGAAGAATCATGAGTCCTACTCTCTTATAAACACTTCATATGCTCTTAAACACTTTGGCGATGACGATGAGACGAATGTAAAGTACACACAATATAAAAAAACTGGGTTTAAAAACCTGCGATACAGTGAAGCCGTAAGAAGTGAACCACAATATAGTGACGGTATTGCCAAACATTTAACTTAGAAGTAAGAAAACATTGGTCAAATGTTGGTGTCACACTAGTTTGTTGTTGATAATTATATATTCATCCTGTTTTATTAAGGACTTCATGGCTTTTTGAAAGAAATGGTAACATTTCTCGTATGCAAAGTTTTGCAAGAAATCATGTATACAAAGTCATGTTTTATGTGGAACACATCCTATTGTGTACAGCAGAAGTAGCTACCAAGCAAAAAAAAAATATTTTTAATTTAATTGAACTGCTTTTAGCTTTGAGTACAGCTCACATTTGCTGTGGCATTTCCACAAGCTTTAGCAATGTCACATTTATTTAGGTCCAGAGTTGCATTAATGTTTCATCAAGATCTTTAATTGATGACGGGAGATGAAAGTCCTCTTTGGCACATCCCAAATATTTTCAATGGGGTTCAAGTCTGGACTCTGTGGTGGCCAATCCATGTGTGAAAATTATGTCTCATGCTCCTTGAACCCCTCTTTCACACTTTGAGCCCGATGGATTGTCATTGCAACATGCCCGTGCCATCAGGAAAGAATCAGAATCAGAATAAGCTTTATTATCATTGCACCGAGAAGATACAATGAGAACATGTATGTATAGTCGTCCGGAAGATGGACGGAGTGCCCGAAGCTGAAACTTTTATCCTTGGTTACCCATGACCCAGGAGAAATTTGATAGTCGGCCCGTCTCCGAGGCCAACGGGGAGTCAGATTCAGATAAGCTTCGATTGTTGATTTCCTTCAGACAGACAGATTTTTTTCTTCAGCCTTGAGTCCTTCTGGAGCTTTCTGATTCCAAAATGGCCTGATAGTGGGAATCCATTCCACTGATCCATGTTATGAGTCTCCTTCAAGGTCGCTCCCACCGTGCTGTTGAGTCCCAGTAGCCGCAGGTGGCCTGCGATTCTCATGAATCGCCTCCACCTTATGGTTTAGCTTGTAAATCAGCTGATTTTGAGTACTCACAGCACGAACCAAACCTTCACACTGACTCGGAAGCTTTGTCATGACATGCTGGTGAAGATTCTCAGTCATCCAGGACATGATGAATTAAAAAAAACGTTCAATACAAAAACAACTGGACTTTATTTGTAACAGAAGATGTTTCGCTCCTCATCCGAGGAGCTTTCTCAATTCAAAGAGCAGTGAAGTGAGGGATTCAGGTTATAAAGCTGACTGAGATAAGACACACATATGTAGATTAGCAATTCACACCTAAAAACCTTAACAGTAAGAGTCTTTTGTTACTCTAATTACTAATTACAAATGTGTATGTGTCTTATCTCAGTCAGCTTTATAACCTGAATCCCTCACTTCACTGCTCTTTGAATTGAGAAAGCTCCTCGGATGAGGAGCGAAACGTCTTCCGTTACAAATAAAGTCCAGTTGTTTTTGTATTGAACATTTTTTTAATTCTTTGTCATGACAGAAACTGCTGCCGAAGTCTTCTTCAATAGTCGGTAAAACAGAGCCCCGCCGATGCCGAAAAGCAGAGTACCTGCTATCATAAATCCAAATATGTAAAAGTCTTCAGCATCCTCCTGAGACGGGACTGAAAGGAACATCAGCTGCCACACTCCCCATGGGTCCATGTCGTACCCCACAGCGTGCGTCTCAGCTGGACAAGTGGGTTCTCCAGGACCTTGTTGTTTTGTTGAAAAAATGTTGTCAATCGCATTGAAAGTCCAGGTTACCAGATCCATAATCTTAATTTATGTTCTGGAGATGTGTACCAGGCGCTTCAGACACACAAGAGAGTGAAGCAGGAGGAAGAAAAAAAATGGGTGAGGGAAGGCAGGAGCAAGTAGTGAGAGCCAGACAGAAAAAAAAAGAAAAAGAAAGAAGGTCCATTGCTGGAATAACATGGTCATTCTATATTCAGGTAGTTAGATTACCACATTCTTTGGACACATAATGTTGCTGAACTTAGATCAGACTGACTGCAGCAACCTCAGATCATAGACTGCCCCCACAGGCTTGTACTGTAGGCACTAAGCATGATGGGTGCATCACTTCAGCCACCTCTTCTTACCCTGATGCTACCTCTCCACTGTCCTTCAAATTTTTAATAATGTGTTGGAAAGATGAGCTGATTTCAATCGTTTTCAACCATCTCCTTTGATGTTTTGTCTGCTTGATTCATGCCCAGGGCTTAATTTGTAAACCAATCAATGCCGGAACGCAAATAGCAGGTGGGCCAGCTGGGAGTCCTCCCCCAGAAAATTTTAAATAAAGTAGATGCGATTTCTTGTATTTTGGTGTATTTTAACGGGTTGTTAAACATCTACGTTTACCTACATTTGTAAACACTTCTCTGCTGATTTCACTGTCTGACTCCACATGTGAAACCTCCAGGCACTCACTCCCACCACTCTTTTAGGGACGGAGATTTTTTTTGTAAAGGATAGAGGCGGAAATGCTTCACTTTAAGGGGCAGCTGATCGTATGTGATATTAAGAAGTCGTGTTTTGTCGTTGTTGTGTTTAAAATTTGTGTTTATGTAATTATTTTCAGTTACATATCCAATATAAGTTTTATTTGTTCAAGGCAGTCATATTTGTTCATAACTTTATTATTAGTAAGCCCGAGAGCTGCCTTGCAAATAGTTGCTGGAATGCACTTTGTCAAAATAAGAGAGTTCTCGGATCTTGTTCCGGCAGGATCCGAATCAGATTAAGCCTTGTGCATGCCAATAATTTGACCCTTCTGAACATCTTATGCACGACCACAGGGTGTGTCTTTCAACAAGATTGTTCAACAAATGAGAAGCTGTTCACTGTATCAGTTGTGGTTAAATAACTTGTTGCTAACTGAAACATCATCACCTCTGTAGTGATTGTCCAATGGGAGACTTTAACTATTTGCTTAGTTAAATCCAAGTGGTGACCTTTTTTTTGATCAGGCAGTGTAGAATGCAGTTAAGCAAAACTACAAGTAATATATTTTGCGCATTTTATCTACATTCATACAGGGTCCTTTACAGCATCAGTTTTAATTTTATCACCTTGGCCATTTTTATTGTATGTCTGAAATAGTTAAAGTACAATGAATAGAGACAAATTCAAATTCAAAAATACTTTATTAATCCCAAAGGGAAATTATTTGTTGTTGTAACTCGTTATCCTCATTTCATTAAAAGATTTTATAGATACTGATGGCTGTAGACAGGAAGGATCTCTTGTAAAGGTCCATCCCACAGTGGATCCTAAGAAACTGGCTGCAGATGCCGTCTGATCCGTCTACCCAGATTCGACTGGCCTCTCGGTTCCTCCGGGCTGTAGGACCGCCCAAATGCCGGGCAAAACTCCTCCCAGAGCGATGGCCACTCCTCCCAGCAGCCTGCCGAGCTCCTCGTCACTGTGGACAGCCAACTGTAGGTGCCGAGGGACGATCCTGTCCTTCCGCTGTCATGAGCCGTGTTTCCTGCTAGTTCCAGGATCTCAGTGGTCAGGCACTTGAGCACAGCCAGCAGGTAGATGGGAATGCATCTACGGCACCTCCTTTTCAACTCATTTGAGATTTGGGGCTGTAGTTGAGATATTATTTGAGCTTTCGAGATATTAATCAGCTGCTGTTGGTTGTAGTAAACTGCCTTGTTGCCATGGTTACGCATCATAATAAATGTCCAAAACTAAAAAAGTTTCAGTAAAAATCCTTCCAGCTGCACAGCATCTGATACCAGAGGAAACAATCATAAAAAATATGTGATTTACATCCAGAAAAAGATGAATTAAAGTTTCCAAAAGCAAAATCTCAGAATGAAAGTAACAGAGCTGCTCCGACATGCAGCCACCTTGAGCGGTGCAATTCTAGGAACGAGCAGTATTCAGTGTTGGGTGACATGTTTCAAGTTTTCTTTGGGTGAATCTTTCTCATCTGCCATATTTTATTACAGGCAGTGTGCAATCACACAGTATACATCCAGCTTTCAATATACAACCTAATTATTAAACACAACAATAATTACTGTGTAAAATAACCAAATACAATATCATTTTAATGTTTTCTTTGTTACATAGGACAAATGAATAATACTGGCTTGGACCACTTTCATTCTTTCTCTTTAAAGGCTTTCAGGTTTGAGCAGGAAGCTTTGAAATATAACGGATCCACTCAGGAGGATCAGCAACAAGAGCAACATCAAGGTGGGTGTAGTGATTTGACCTGTGAGATTTAAGTATCATTGCTTTGAGTGTTGGTATTGGTTCTTGTTTGGCTTTATTTAAGTAATGACAAAAGGTTGAGGCAGGAATTCTGTGGATCATGTATTTTTAGGCGTGCGTCTTTCATCTGAGTCACGTTTCATACAGTGGTTTTTTTACAGAGCCCCCATGGGTCTCGAGCAGAAATAAAATGTGTGGTTGTAAGAATCTGTTCCATCAGTTTATTATATACTATACTCACAGATTCTCAGTAACTTTAGTGTCCGTGTGCAACAAGAGTTGAACAGTTTTGTTGTCAGGGTGGACGTGGAAATGGATAAACAAAACACAGGAAGTGACACAAGGGTTTATTGATCATCTACAAATTAAAAAAAACTATAATGTAATACTGGTGGCTTAGTTGGTAGAGCTGTTGCCTCTCAGCGAAAAGGTCGCCGGTTCAAATCCCTGCCAGGGGCCTTTCTGGGTGGAGTTTGCATGTTCTCTCCGTGCATGCATGGTTTTTCTCCGGGTACTCCAGTTTCCTCCCACAGACCAAAAACATGCATGTTAGACTGATTGGTAACTCTAAATTGTCCCTAGGTGTGAATGGTTGTTTGTCTCATTTGTCTCTATGTGTCTCTGTGATGGACTGGAGACCTGTCCAGGGTGTCCCCTGCCTTTCACACAGTGACTGCTGGATATAGGCACCAGTGACCCCCACGATCTGAAAAGGAAGAAACTGGGAAAGATGATGGAAACTAGGTACACAGGGTCCAAGTTACATTCAACAAAAACACAAATTGTAAAGAAAAACATTAGTAAGATCCGAGTCATGAACTAAGAATATACTGTGCTACACATTCACTAAAGTAAGAATACACTAATCACTAATTGTCTGGGCTTAATTTGTGAAACAATTGATGCCGGAACACAAATAGCAGGCGGTCAAGTGGGGGGGGTGGGGATCCGTGGTTCCTCCCCCATAAAATTTGGAATAAAAGAGACGCCATTTCCTGCATTTTGGTGTATTTTAACAGGTTGTTAAACATCTGTAAACATTTGATTAAATTGATTAAAAACAGCTCTTTCTTATAAATGAGTCCTTGAGGCTCCATGAGACTAACAACCTGTATAAATAAAGGTTGAATTGAAATTACCATTTTAGAGAGCAACAAAAATTAACAAGCCTCTGTGTGAAGGTCCTATTCTGTCGAGCATCCTAACCCCCCCCCCCCCCCCCCCCCCCCCAAAAAAAAAACCCTCCCCCACCCACACACACACACGTTGTCCGACCCGAACTCAGTCCTGCACGTTGTTCTGCTCCAGTCTCTATCACCAATGCCTTCAGGTGCTTCAATTCTCTGTTATCCTCTGGACAATCCATTCATCCATTTATTTTACATAATAAATTGGACTGTCTTTTCGACATTTTGATCGCTCTTATTTTGACTAATTTTGAAACTTGACAATGTGAATAATACACATCAAACATTTCGCTCGTTTGTTGTTGTTTTTTTTTTTTTACTGTAAACTTTTTTTATTTATTATCTTTGAAATGTATGCAGGAGTTTTGACACATTTGACAGTTGTGCACGCTCTGCAGAGCTGTCTGGAGACGCTCCTGTGCGTAAAACATGCTCTGTCTGCAGGGCACACAGCTGAGCAGGTGAAGCTGACACCCCACCCACGTCAAAAATTCCAGTAAATACGAGTGGTTAGTGCTACATTAGTGCTACGTTTGTGCTGGTTTGTGCCGTTAAAATGTTCGTTTGCACTGCTTTGGATTCGGAGACACAGCTGAAGGTGGATGAAGACGCTTCATCCCTGTGGGACATGCAGTCAGCGTCTCTGCTGGCAGCAGCGTGTGCGTGAGCTGTTGTGCCTGCTGCAGCAGTAACGTCCACACCACAGACATGGACAATGTCTCCTCTCGTTGTATTTTTAATAAATAATCAAAATAAAAATGCGCAATGACTTTGGACTTTTATGGGTGGAGATATGAGCTGGTGGATCTGATTGAACAGTTGCCAGAACGCACACGGTAAAAATGAGGGAGTTCCCGGATCTTGTTCCGGCAGGATCCGGCTCAAATTAACCACTGCTAATGGTACAAAAACAATGCGCCAAAACAACAGCAGGACGAACATGAGTCTGTATGAGCAGATGAGGATTAATGAACACAGCAACATGAAATAATCAGCAGCATGAGAGATCAGCATCATGGATAGTCAGAAGCACACATCAACAATCAAGTGGCATTACAGTCATTTTTCACAGTGATTATTCTGGTTAGAGATTCAAGAGTCTAACAGCCTCAGGGTAGAAGCTGTTCCTCAGTCTAGTGGTTCTACACTTAATGCTCCGTAACCTCCTTCCTGAGGGGAGCGGGGCAAAAATTGTGTGTGCTGGGTGAGTGGCGTCCTTCATGATGTAGGTGGCCCTCTTCCTTCAACGGGAGGTGTAAATGTCTGTGATGGTGGGGAGACTGACTCCAACAGACTTCTGTGCAGCACTAAGCCAAATATTTATATCTCATTGAATGTCTCAATAATTTTTGAGAGTTTTTGTCCCATGTTACAATAGATTGATGGATGGATGGAAAGATGGATGGATGGATGGATGGATGGATGGATGGATGGATGGATGGAAAAGTAGATGGATGGATAATGGCTGGAAATATGGATGGATGGATGGATGGATGGATGGATGGATGGATGGATGGATG